TCGTGTCCACCGAAGACAATGTTTCCCATTTGATTCTCCGGTTGCTTCTGTCACCGGATCTTCGTATGGTTCTCCATTTCTTACAGCGCAGCGTGTCAACAATAAGGTGATGATCGGTTGATAGCTCTGCGCCTCTTTAACACGAACATCCATTACTGAGCATCTTAAGTCAGACGATACGATTATCAAATCGATTATCCACTTCTGTGCACAAGCTTCCCCATACCACGTGTACTGATGCACTTTTCGATGCTCAAAGAAGGTGTTCATAATGGACAATCCGTTGTTTACAGAGAACCGCAACAACTTCATGTCGTTATTGTTGAGGTCGCTACGGCCGTTTTTCCCAATCATGGCGTTCCACTTTTCAGCGTCTACTCAGACGTGCGCATTAAAATCGCCCATTAGTATGAGGGACTCTGTATTCGGCACTTCAGACAGAGCGCACTGGACTTCCTCAAGGAAAGAATCATAATCACTCTCTAAATTGGGCATATAGATCTGTAACAAGGTAAACGCTTTAGCTTGTTGTAGCTTCAGTCAGGCGATTGCCACTCTAACGCTGACAGGCTTCAAATCAGTAGTTCTATCGGCGAGGTTAAGTTCTACCAGAACACCAACACCGGCCTGAGCGCGAGTCGTGATGTCGACGCCTGAGTAGAACAGCTTTCATCCACTGAGGTTCAGGAGTCCAGAGCCTGAGCGCTTTGTTGGCGAGAGTCCAATGATGTCGAGTTGGTACTTTATGGCCTCATCAACTAATTCCTGCTTTTCTTTTTGAGTGAGGATATATTCTGGTTTCCGACTGTAAACTCCCAGTGGCGGTGTCGTTCTCGTGAAGCCTTTACTGATGTGCTATAATGGCAGCTCAGACTTCTTTTTGACATACCACTGCTCTGAAATCTCCATCAGCACTCAAATACAATTCCCAATTTCAACGGTGAATGCACCCTGAAAAGGAACTGGAGGGACGCCGATGACTACTAGAAGGTATTTGAGAAACTTAAGCCCGGCGATAGCATCAAAAAGAGCGAAAGAAAGAAAATTGGAATAGACGAGGAGTTTGATAAAGAAGCGGAGGAACAATCAACCAGGAGGAGTACTCTCTTCTCTGAAAGTTTATCTGAGGAAAGTTGAAGAAGGAATTTGGCACCTTCTGATTGCAAAAGTAAAAGAAAAGAGCGGAAGACTGCAAAAATCTCACACAACGCATGCTGTTTCGTTGAAGAACGGGGATGGAGCATTAACGACTGACAGAGCTGAGATACAGTCTAGCTGCAATAAAGTTTTCACCCAACTCTTTGAGTCGAAAACACGACCCACCCCACACGATCACTCAGGACAGAAGGAAGCGTAAATCCGGTCCTCATAAACAAAGCACGACATGGCGCACAGGAAATCAAGGACGGAAGGAAACCAGGGAGGAACGATCTATCAGATTAATTGATCAGAGCAGGAGGTGAGATGCTGTGGAGGGCTCCAGCAGAGAGGTCAAGTTGCTACCTGGAGACGGAAAAGATACCATACAGCTGGAAGGAGCCAAAAACTAGAGTACTGTTCAAGACGAGTGAGTTAGAGGGCCGATTTGAGGAAGTATCGCCTTATCTGGCGGCTCTTACAAGTCTACAAATGCTAACTAAGATCGTCACCGAAAGAGTGACCGTCACAAGTCGTGACAAACAGCAGTCAAGAGAACAGACAGCAACAGCACAACGAAAAACATCATTAACTTACATCAACATGCGAAGGGACTACATCTGTATATCCCTTTTGTCGAGCACGAGAAAACGTTCTACACCGTGTAGAGCAAAAGGTAGTGTGGGCTGCACTGGCAGAAGAAGGCATCGACACTTGTTACATCAACCTGCAAAAAAAGCCAACTCTGGCTGTTTCACAAACATTACACTGTTTGATGCCCTCTTCCGAATTTCCGTAGAAAAGGGCGCGAAAGAAGAGGACATGATATACCTCGAATTCTCCACTGCTAGTTTTGAAATGGTATTATGGAGAATGAATTGGAAAGGTAGGATTAACATCAATGGTGAACAGCTGAGTTACCTAATTTTTGCTGCTTGTGGGTAAACGGCAGGGTGCTAAAGATTTGCTGCAAGAGCTCGAGAGAAACAGTGCAGAAGTTCGAATGCAATTCAATCGATAGAAGTCAAGGTACTGCAGTCGGACGTCCTACCGAAGACAGAGGTAACATTAAACGGTTATGCGATCGAAGAAGTAGATAAATAAATTTACCTTGACCAAAAGATCAAAATGCGGTATGAACAGACTGAAAAGATTTAATAAGAAGGAGTGCCTGCCTGGTGCGCGTTTCATTCCATCATACCAGCGCCCATGCGGTTCTATCGTCCAAGCGGCAATGTTGCATCGCTGTGAGATGTTGCCATTCTCTAAAACCGAAGAGCACCATGTGTCTGTGCCCCAGAGAGACATGGAAAGATGAATTGTGGGAATTTCTTGTAGCGCCATATCCCAAACATAGAACACAGTGCTCAAACAGCGCGCAGATTGAAGGACGTTGTCGAAAGTAGAAAGGAGATGTTACGGTGAACCGGGCACGTAGCTCAGATCACCGACGTTAGATGGAAAGATTATATCACGCACCGGGAAGGCCGCACTTGGCAGATAGGTCGAAATCTCGAGTATCACAGCGCAGTTGTGGCCGGCGCTTTGCGCCGATTACTGGGCGGCCGGTGATCCGAGTGACGATACTACAACTGTCACTCACCCTTCTTGATGTCACTTGAAATTCGGGCCGCAATTAGCTAAGTACCTCATTTTGTAACATTGCACATGATTAGCGGATCTTATGACAGTCTAGGTTCCGACTAAGGGGGTCATCGGTGTGTTAATTCTCCAACAAATCACTAGACGAACAAAAACTGAAGAGCCAGTCTTGATAGTGGATGTTTTTTTAAACATACAGACATATCCGATAACAAGCAAATCTTGAATGTTCATGCATATGAAGATTTTGGACCCAGTGCCTCGGGCGACAGTGATGTTTCGCTGCTCCGCAATCTTGGCTGCGTCAGAAACTGACCAGACAAGAATTTCAGTACGCAGAGCAGCAGGCAGCAGTTACTGAGCACTAAAGTACATAGACGTGTCTGTATCTCTTTCGAAGAGCCATTGAATCTTCTGAGCGTAAAGTGTGAACCAGTAAAAGATGCGAGCTGTTGCGGGCATATTGATAATCGTCCTGAAGACAATGGTTTTGGCCACTGACCCTAGTCCATTGCAGATCACAGTCCTTTACGAAGCTCTGTGTTCGGACTGCATGAAACTGTTCACACAAGTGTTGTCTAAATTTGGTCCAGCACTGCCGAGATTTGCACACATCGAGCTCGTACCCTATGGCAATGCGAAGAGAACTGAAGCATACGGCATGCAGCAATTCCAGTGTCAGCACGGGCCTCAAGAATGCGTTATGAATACCTTCCACTCCTGTGCCATCCACGTATTGAACAACGAAGCTCGATCGCTCGCATTCGTCACATGCCTTGAGGAAGGCCGTTGGAAGGAGCTCGACAACCATTACACGGTCAGTGAATGCTTTCGATTTCTTCGTGTCAGTCCCGACGAGCAGTCACAAATCTGGAGCTGCATGGTGAACGGACTTGGAATACAACTGCAGGAAAAAATGGCCAGAATAACAGAAAGCGTACGCCCAGAAAAGCACACATCTGTCCCTTGGATCGTGATTAACGGTGTGAGCACGAAGGCAATGCAACTCCAGCAAGACCATCTTTTCCAACTTTTCTGCCTTCGATATCGTGGTCACATACGCCCTCCCGGTTGTTGAGTCACGAACCACGATCACAGGTCTTAGTGAATGATCTGTTAGACACTTGAGAGTTTTCGGGTAGATTAACGAATTAAATCAGATAAATTTGTTTGCATGTGTTCGTCTGCTTTAATTGATAACAATATAATAAAAATAGAGTATATAAGCAAATGTGTACTAGGACGAGTTACGCGGCATAAGAACATATTTTGGTGTTCACGGGATAGCATATAAGAAGTACCATCTTCTGAAATACTGTTCGTCATGAGGATGAACTGGCTCTAGGAAACAGAACGATGAGACATTCAGTAG